ATTTGGAAATAGGGTCTTTGAAGATGTAATTAAGATGGTGTCATATTGGATTAGGGCAGGCCCTAAATTCAATGACTGGTGTGTCTTTATAAGAAGGCTGTGTAAAGACACAGAGTCACACCCATCCAGAGAAAAATGCCATGTGAAGTCCGGGTCTGAGACTGGAGGGATGCATCTATAAGCCAAGGAATCCCAGGGATTGCAGGCAACTATGAGGAGCTGGAAGAACCACGGAAGGAGTCTTCCCTGGGGCCTTTGGAGGGAGCATGGCCCTGCTGACAGATTGATTTAGGACTTCTGGCCTCCCAAACTGAGAGAGAATAGATTCTGTTTTTTTAAGCCACCCAGTTTGTGACCCTTTGTTGTGGCAGCCTCAGCAAACTCATACACATGCCAAACTGCATTTTACTAGTAAAACTGATCTGTGTATTTTATGCACAGACCATCTCTGCACCAGTGCTTGTTATTTGTGAAAACAGACATATGGACCAAGCTGGACCAAACATGGTTCCTCATCAAGCCTCTTTATTTCTCCCCACAAAATGAGGAGTAACATGTGTGTGCCAGGTAGAACTGGTTGGGGAGCAAACACTTAAGAAATTTCTGGATCTGTTTCCTTTTTTTCTTTCTAATTTCTCACTACAGATTGAGCTAGACATGTTTTACTAGAATTCAGATCAGAAAGCATTTCCCTTCTCAGTGCAACCACAGTATTTCTCCTTTTGTTTTAATGTAAATTCTCTCAACACAACAGATGTTTGGTTTCCTTCAAATTCTAATAATATTTCTTTGCATTTTTCAGCTTATTATTTTGAAGGCATGACTAGAAAAAATTAAGTACTAGATGATCTTTAGTCTCCTGTAGGAACTTAATCCTGTTTCTTTTTGTCAGCTTAAAAATGATGACCTCCAACTTAGCTGTTTAGAGTGTTGTTGAAATAACAGGAATTATTTAAATATAATAAAGATAGTTCACAAAACGGCTGGGTGGGATTAAGTGACAATCAATCTCCATGGTCCACAAAACTATGCCACTAGGTGTCACTACCTGGAATTCTTCAAAAAGGAACCAGTGTTGATTCTGTAAAACAGAACAATTCCAAGCCAAGCATGGGCTATGGAACATTAGAAGGACGAGACACGAACGGTCCAAGTTTAAAAGCTTTTTCTCCAGAATTGGTCATACCACGTTCCTTTTTACGTAAGCACTTAAAATATTAAAAAATTGTTTTAATCATTAGATTTCTCTATATGGCAGCTACTTGAATACTTCATTGATTATATTATTGAAATGTAGTCTGTTAGTTCTGAGACAAGAGCTTAATGAACCATATTCATGGGCTCTAGATTACAAGAGCACATTCCAATGACGGCTTAGGTCATTCATGATGATTAAGCTTTTCATTGAAGGATGGGTCAGTTTGGATCTTCAGAACCCAGCACTGCCTGGGGACAGCTTATGGTCCAGTCATTTCAGGGGGTGGGAGGTTCTGGGGTTCAGGTGTAGCACTTGTCTGCAAAATTCTGCAGACATGGCGTCTTTTTCCTGGGCACAGAGCCTTCTCAGTCCACGCCAATTGAGATGCACTGATAGGGCAGATGCTGACACTGCAGACACGTTCTTAAGTTTATCACTCGTAAGAATCCAAAGGAACTTTAAGCATGTTTTTCCTAACACCTAGGAATCTCCTCTGAAGTTGTGACAATGTTGACCCAAGAACGCAGCAGTTATTCAAAGCACACGTTTTCAGTGAGATCTGAAGGGCTTAGCATTGGGCAATAAGCTGCCGCCTGGCTCAGTTCCAACGTCCAGTCTGTGTCTGAGTACCTGCCCCTCCTTGGAGAAGCTAGCGATGTTCTTCCATTTCCCCTGCAGTCTCAAGCTGGGTGGGCTCAGATACCTTGTTACACTTGTCAGAAAAATGTAACCTTGAAAACCAGTTTGGGCTTCTCTGAGCCTTTAAATGACAAAAAGTCCTTCATCTAAAAGGTCAGTAGATCTTAGCAATGACCTAACCACTGACTACACTGAAATAAACCAATCTCCATGCTCTGCTACAGCTTCTTTCAAATATCCCACTTGCTAGTTCCAGTAAAGGGTAGGACCTGTGTGGGAAATTCACATTTGCGAAAACCTTCCGCATCCTATGAAGCAATGATAGACAACATAGATAAAGAAGCCAATGAATAAAGAAGAGGAAGGAATGTTAATAGAATGAATTTCAAAGGCTTTCTGGTACCTGAGGAAAGTAACAGTTACTTGAAATTAAACTTAACTGAAAATGTCCTCAAATTACTTAAGATAAATTACACTAAAGAGAAGAGCCATTTCCTTATCCTCCTGAGTGCATTTGTTAGCTTTATTGAAGGACAACCGATAAACATAATCGTAATATATGTAAAGTATACAATGTGAGGATTTGATAAATGTGTACACTGTGAAAGGGTTCCCCAACCAAGTTAATTAACACATTCTTCACCTCACATATTTAACTTCTTTTTTCTAAGAACACTTAAGTTCCCGTCTTTTTTTTTTTTTTTTGAGTGTGCGTGCATGCGCATATGTAGTGGGGGAGGGGCAGAGAGAGAGGGAGGGAGAGAGAATCTTAAGGAGGCTCCACTCCCAGTGCAGAACCCAACATGGGGCTTGATCTCATGACCCTGAGATAATGACCTGAGCCGAAATCAAGAGTCAGATGCCCACCAAACTGAGCCACCTAGGCGCCCCGTGAGAACACTTAAGTCCTACTCTCTCTTTCATTATACAATACAGAATTATCAACTACAGCCACCATGTTATATATTAGACCCTCAGACCTTACTCATCATATAAGTGAAAGCCTGTACCCTTCTACCAACCTCTCCTCATTTCCCAGACCCCCGGCCTAGGGCAACCATTCTACTGTTTCTAGGAGTCTGACTTTGATACCATGCAGTATTTATATTTCCCTGTCTGGCTTATTTCACTCAGCACATTTTTTAAACTATGTTTCCCAGCTCTCTTGCAGCTAGGTAGGCATGTAACTAGTATTTGCCACTGAAATGTGGGCAAAGTGATATAGCCTCTTTCCTACTATGAGCCTGCAAAATTCTCCATTTTCTCTCATCTGCTGCTAGGAGCAAACGATACAGTGGAAGAGGCCTGACCCCTGAAGGACTGTGTGGAAGAGACCCTCCCCCCCCCACCCCCACATCATCTACCTGCACTGGACTGTGATGTGAGCAAGAAATAAACTTTTATTCTGTTAAGCCCCTCAAATTTTAGGATTGCATGCTATAGCAGTTGGTCAGGCCTCATTAATACAGACACTACATAAAGAAGCCAAACTAATTCTTAAAATCTGATAATTTGATTTGACTGCATTTATGGAAGATGCAACTGTAGGTTACCTATGACTGCACTTAGTCGTAGGTAGGAAGTTGAAACGTAATGCAATGCTCTTAGCTTAGCGTTTCCCAAACTGGTCCTCATCAACAGGACAGGATTGTGAATAAAAGTTCTGTGCCCAAATTAGTTTGAGAAATGCTATTAAAGTCAATCTGGTTTCTTTGCTATGGGATGTCTCAGAGCTGTTAATATGCTAATATCCACTGTGAATCTGTATAAAAGGATAAAGAATGTAGCATTTCCCTAACTTATTTAGTGAATATATTTAAGATCTACTCCCTTCCTCCTTCATGGCAACACCCATCACCATCTCCCAGAGCAATGTTCTGCAGAACACATTCTGGGGAACATTGCGTTGGTGTAATCTGTGTCCTATGGTGGATTAATCAGAGTTAGAACCAAACAGTTCTAGGCACCCCAAAGCAAATACCATTCTCTTATAAAGGGAAGGTTTTTCTTGTAAAAAGACTAACATGTGCTGACAGATTACTATCTATTAAGAAAGTTTTCACTGCTGAAATCAACCAAGTTACCTAAGAAAAGTATCTTACTTAAAATGTGACTGAAATAAAGGCAGATACGAACTCTCAGCTTCCGATTTTTCTTTGTATCTCAATCTGCTGTCAGTAGAGTCTGTCATATTTAATGTGATTACATATTCTTATTTTTAAGAAGACAAAAGTCTATGAAAACCAGCATTGTTAACTATGAAATGTGTGTGTCCACTGCACAGTATCTTATTTACTTTTCTCTCTGTTATACTCATGCTTCAGGTTCAGTGTTTTTTTTTTTTTTTTTTTTTTTTTTAAAGATTTTATTTACTTAGGGGCACCTGGGTGGCTCAGTCCTTAAGTGTCTGCCTTCGGCTCAGGTCATTATCCCAGGATTGAGCCCCGCATCGGGCTCCCTGCTCGGCGGGAAGCCTGCTTCTCCCTCTCCCACTCCCCCTGCTTGTGTTCCCTCTCTTCCTGTGTCTCTCTCTGTCAAATAAATAAAATCTTAAAAGAAAAAGATTTTACTTATTTATTTGACAGAGAGAGAAAGAGAGAGACAGTACGAGTGTGGGGAGGGGCCGGGGCAGAGGGAGAAGCAGGCTCTCCGCTGAGCAGGGAGTCACGGGCTCCATCCCAGGACCTTGAGATCACGACCTGGGCCAAAGTCAGACACTTAACCATCTGAGCCACCCAGGCGCCCCCCCAATTTCATTCTTTTCACCTGCTGCCTAATATTCCTTATTAGGAGTGCATATGCCATTGTTTATTTCCCTGTTGCCTTATGTTCACTCTTACGCCCGTTCTATGATTAATGTTCACGTCCCTGCATCTTTGTATCTATTGAGGAGGGTTTCTCTAGAGAAGAGGGATTCTTTTAACAGAAACACACACACACAAATTTTTTTTACAGTGACTTGCTAGACTACATTGTTTTTGTACTATATATACTTTATTTCAATTATGAATCTATAATGGATGATTTCCCACATTTCTCACAGACTTAAGACTGGAAATGGACTGTTATGATGGACACCTGGAAATTCATGTAAAGTAAAAAAGGTACCCTAACTATTCAATTCACTAAAAATAAATAAGTCATAAAAAAGCCCCAGACTTACATCTAGTAGCGTGTGGAGATGCTGATCCTGGAAAACACTGTGTAGAAAATCTAAGTCCTTTTCACTGCAGTCTGTAAGTGCGTGAATTTCTTCCAGGCTGTCCAGCACCTGTGAGACTGCTCCTAAGGGGAACAAACAGAAAACAAACAGCCAGTACAGAAAGTCAATGTCAAACTAACCTTTGTAGCCTCAATCTTGCATTTCAGAACAATGAACCAACAAACATAAAACTTCAAATGTTCATGTCTTTACTGGATAGACTTAAATGAACTTCATATCGCTCAAGGATAGAGTATTTTCAGTGAGTTTCTGTTTGTCACAATGTATTTGTGTGCTTCTCATTTTTCAGAGTACACTGCAGCTGGTCTTACCTGAATTAAGGAAATCTGTCAACTATAACTGAGCTACTGGAAGATCTGGGTGCAGCAAGTTATACATCAGGAAGAGTGTGTCATTTCCATGACCCCATGATGTTTTAAAATATTACATAACTAACACAGGTGAGCCTTTCGTACAAGTGTATCCCATCAAGAACTGAAGGTAAAGCCAGCTGTAGCTTTGAGGGAAAAACCTTTGAAGGATGGGTGCTCCTGCTGAGTAAAATAAGCTTCTTAGGATTTTTTTTTTCCTTAAAAGTAAGCTCCATGCCTAGCATGGAGCCCAATGTGGGGCTTGAACTCAAGACCCTGAGTTTAAGACCTGAGCTGTGATCAAGTTGGACGCTTAACTGACTGAACCACCCAGGTGCCCCAGCTTCTTAGGATTTTTAAGGCTCAAACTTAAGTTAGCAAAGATCCCAATGCATTCTTTCTCCTTCCTTTACAAAGTCAAGGGAATCAAGTTGTTCTCAATCTATTGGGCCCTTTTTATTCAAAAGACAAAGACAAAGGCTGAGTGTATTGACTGACACTTCCAAATACCACATTAAATATTAGGGCAACTCATTTTTGTAGGGCAAAGGAAATGGTAGTGTGATCACTTTCTTTAAATTTCTTCTTATAACCAGGAATCCAGAGAGGTATTAGTAGAGAAAGATATATACTGGGGAGCAACAAAGTCACTTACACAGCCTTAAAGAAATGATAAGCCTATTTGACTCTGCAGACAACGTGCACATACATACTCCAGAGAAAGAACCCTAAAAGGCTACGCTTCAGAACATTAGTGTTTGACAAATTCTAATAGTAAGTGCCTCATTACACGTGTAAGTCTTGGATCAATAGTTTCCAACCAGTGGCGATTTTGCCCCCCAGGGGGGGACATCTGGCAGCCTGGAGACCTTTCTGTTGTCCCAACTGGTGGTGGTGGGGGGACAGTTTGTGCTACTATCATCTAGTGCGTAAGGCCTGGGATGCTATTAAACATCCTACAATGCTCACGACAGCCTTTCACAAGAAAGAATTATGCAGCCCGAACTGTCAATGGTGCTGAGGTTCAGAAATTCTGCTTTAGATAATGATAAAAATCTTGAATCTTTCTGTTCTCTATGGAACTCTATGCTGTTTCTGATTACTTTTGGTCTCGGACCTCATCCAATCACATGCACTTATTGGTGAGAATGTAAATTAGTATCAGTTTCCCAGAATGCAATCTGGTAACATGTATCAAAGAGACTTAAAAATGCTCCTGTACTTTGATTCAGTAATTCCATTTACAAAAACTAGGAAAAACTAGGAAACGCAAAAAAGACTTATGTACGAGGATATTTATCATATAAAATGGGGGAAAATAGCAAATACTTAGAAAGTGATTAAATATAGAACATCTATATAATGGAATATATAGCCAAATGGAAATTACTTTTGAAAAATTTTTAAAGACAAAGAGAAATCCTCATGATATAAAATTCAAGAAAGTGGAATGCAAAACCACATAAACTGTATATTCCCAATTATGACTGAAAAAAATACATATACAAACTCAGGAAAAAAACAATGAAATACACCAAAAGCATAACAGCAGTGATCTTTACTTTCCTATTTATACTTCATTCTATTCTTGTCCATATGTTCCAAGTTTTCCACAATAGAACAAACATTGCTATATAAGCAACTGCTTTTTGCAGTATGATTTCATTATGTTAACAATTCAGGGTGTAAGCCACAAATCAAGTGGTTGTCCATGTGGAAATTACTGTGGCTTTTTTTTTTTTTTTTTAACAAATTTGACTTTTTGAGATAACTGTAGATTCACACGAAGTTGTAAGAAATAATACAGAGAGATCTCATGTGCCCTTTACCCAGTTCCCCTCAAAGGTAACATCTTGCAAAACTCACGCAAAATCACAACTGGGAGACTGACACTGGCACAGGCAAGCTACAGAATATTTCCATTACCGTAAGGATCCTTCATTTGGCCCTTCTATAACCATCCTCATTTATTCCTACCCTATTTCCCTCCTAACCCTTGGCAACTACTAATCTGTTCTCCATTTCTATAATTTTGTCATTTCGAGGATGCTATATAAATGAAACCATACAGTATGTAATCTTTTGTGATTGGCTTTTTTGACCCAGCATAACTCTCTGGAGATTCATCCAGGTTGTTGTGTATATCAATGGCTTAATCCTTCTTATTGTTGGGTAGTATTCCATTGCATGGATGTGCCAAAGTTTGACCATTTATCTATTGAAAGGACTGTGGATACTTTCAAGTTTTGAGTAATTATGCCTGCCAGGCTCTTGGTATTCTTTCACTGAAAACATTAAGTGGGTATTAAGTAGGACAAAAAAAGGTACAAGGCACAAATCAGTCCTCATTTCTCTTGCTGTTCCTGAAAAGGTATTAACCAAGTCCACTTCCTTCTACCTGTTCTTGTGACTTTTACTTTGTTCTGAGTAGGGAAAAAAAACTCTGGAAATTAGTTCAAAGCCAGCTCTCTCATCATCCCTTACTGAAAGCCCTGTAAAACAAGAGATGATGTGAAGAAATTAGTTCCAAATGTCCCATGGAACCCCTGACCCCAGCACATCAACAGCAGGGTTAAATGATACCAGGTTTATAGAGTCACTAAAGTTAGTTCTAAACTTCTGGACTTAAAACTGCAATAACAGAAATACCAACGAAATGTTTTATTTGTACATTAAAAAAATCCAACAGATACTACAGAAACATAATTATCATTTTCATTATCTTAATGGAATCTTACCTAGTTTTTATGGTCTCTACCAGCATTGCTTATGTGAATACATAATCTAGGTGGCAGTTTATTAATACTACAGGATGAAAATAAAACAACCTTGTATCCTAGTGAATACCAAGATGGCAAGTCTAACCACTGGGAAGCGATTCTGGCTGTACCACTTGCTCATCTGTGAATCCCCAGAGCTCCACGCGATTCCTGTCCCACCAGCAGCATGCATACTCCACAGGTGACTCTATGTGTGTACTTGTTCACTCTTCTGTGCTATGAGGTCCTTATGGCATGTCTATATTTGCTTTATTTCAGAACACCCACAAAGTATGCACTGAATTAATGAAGTTCTAAAGAAACATAATAATAACAACAGGGGCTCCCAGTTCTCGAGTGTTTATTATGTGCGAGGAACATCCTCAGGACAATGCAGTAAGGTAGATATGTTACCTGACCTTTCTAGATAGGGAACTGAGGTTCAAAGAAGGTCACAGCTAGAAATGGTAGAACCAAGACTCAGGCCCAGCGTGTCTGGCTCTGAAGTCTATGCTCTGCCTGACTTACTACGCGAATTGGCTGTACTAGGAAACATGGGAGAAAGAGTGACAAGAAGCTACATGTGGTTTATGCATGGATATGGATGTTAGAAAAGAACCTGACTCCTGTCGGGTCAGACAACAACCAAAATCTTTATTGAACATTGCTGCTTTTTGCCAGGTACTAGGCAGGGGCTTCTGAGAAAACAGGTATGATCCCTGGCCTTGAGGAAGGGGCTCTCAGACATCTTATACCCTGAAGTAAATGATATACAAGAGGAAAAAACAAAGTGTCGCAGAAATAGGCTGCTGAGTGAGGAGCTGGGACAAACTTAGAGAGGAGGTGGATGAGCAGGAATTCAACACCTCCACCTGTGGTCTCATCTGCTCCGAAGGATGCAGTGAATGCTTTGCTGGAAAGCACAGAGGCATCTGTTATCCGGTGTTTCCAGGAGGAAAGACCCATCAGCTCAATGGGTCTATTGACCCTCCTTGGAGCTTGTCACGGTTTCTGAACTGATTTATAGTCTTATCTTGTACCCAAATGTGGTTAACTTTGTGGGTTTTCAATCATAAGAGGAAGTATTTCCATAGCTGTACATGAGCCACCTATTTCAGTTTCCGAAAAGTGCTCCAAATTTTAAGTTTCTGAAATTAGGGAGGAAAATTACAGCTTTCTTCCATTTCTCCTTTATCTTTTACATTGAAAAAACACATAGTTTTGGTCTAACCTCAAAATCTTTCTTTACCCTTGATCATTTAACACCTTCCATTGACCCCCCCCTTCTAGTTCTGTTCTTTCTTTTTTTGGGTATGACCAAAACGACAGAAAAACATTCTTTGTCTGATATATACGTATCATTGATACCTGCAGTTCAGTACCAAGCCGATCTAAAAGTCCCATAATTTCTCCATTCAGTATAAAATATAAATGTACATAAAGACACTTCTTTTCCATTGCTATTTGTTTTAAACACTGAGGTAGTAGTAATAATGAAGACAACACGACTTAACACAGCACAGCACACATAGAGGCTCTTAACTGCTATTAGCATTTATTTTGTGGATTAATACTGTCATAGCCAAAAGAACTCTTCACTTTTCTCAAAAACTGAAAAGGATGTGTTTTTTTCCCCCTATAAAGCCTTTGAATAAAGTTGTAACTGCCTTAAAAAAAATCAATCAATAAATAGCACATGAGTTCACCTCAGAGGGCAATCTGTTTAAGGGCAGGACTGTAGGTATTTTATTCACTTTTGTATTCCAGGCTGCACTTTGTTAGGGGGCTTTGTACAAAAGGACACAATGAAATGTGTTTGAGTAAAATGATTTTTTTCTGAATAAATTCTGAAGAATTATAATGTAACAGTTAACCACAGAAAACAGCTTATTGCACAGCCCCATTTCCTTAAAGTCATAATAAAATTATTTTGATACTTTTATTTGTATGACA